TCTCGGGGGACCTGGCGGTCACGTCTGCGGGGCCGCTCCGGAGCGGAGCTCTCGCAAACGGGTGGTTTGGTCTCGCGGGGCACCCCTGCTCTTGCCCGGGTTTTACAGCACCTGGAGCCCTCCCTGGGTTTTGGCTGCGTGGGAAGGAGCGAGACGCGGTGGTTATAGTCGTGCCTAAAGCGTTACATCCAGGAGAGGGATATCCTTTTGCAGGCGGCGGTCCCGCCCCCCCCCCGGGCTGTCCCTCTCGGGGGTGTTTGCAACCAGCAGGTCTGGCCTTAAAGTTCAGGCCGGCGGCACTTGTCCCACCGTGCGCCTTTGAAGGCGGCTGAGAGGGGAAGGGAGTCTTTCGCACATCTCGGATTACTGAAGTCATCCTCTGAACGGACGACTGCACTTGTAAAAAGCAAAGCAGCGGGTCGGACCTACAGCTCAGCCAGACCCCCGCGGCACCCCGGCAGGGCTCAGCGCCTCACGGAGCCCGGGGGAACCGAGGGGACGCGCCGCTTCCCTCCCGGCTCCGGGGGAAAAGCAGCCCGGAGCCCGGCCCGTGATTTGGGTGGAGGGACCAGTCCACCCCACTGGCAATCGTTGCACGGGCAGCGGCGTGGGGGCCCCCCACGGAGCGGGTCTCCGCTTCGGAGATCTCGGGGAAGCGGGGAGCCGCTCCCCGCTTTTCCACGCTGATTTGCGGCGGCAGGGGCAGACGTGGGCGGCGGCGGTAGCGGGATGCGGGAGGTGAGTGACCAGCTGAAGTGACCCCGGATAAACTGGGAGGCGGGCTGGAAAGGGGCGGAGGGGAGAGGGTCCTGCAGAGCGGTGGGGACAGGCTGGGTTTCCCCTGAGGCTCCGTCCCTGTGGTCACTTCCCCTCCGGCTCTGCCCGGCTCCTGAGGCCAGGAGAGGGTCATTCAGGCTTCAACAGGGATAAATTCCTCCCGAAACTGGTGACTGCAGTGCATCGCTAGTTCCTCTTCTTTCCTTGCTTGCCAAAGGTAAACTTTTGCAACATGTAATGAAAGGTAAGATGTCCCAAAGATCCCACTGAAATTATGTGGCTGTGTCCCTGTATGCCTCTGCTTGAGTGAAATAAATCAAAGCAGAAGTCCAACTTACTTATTGCTCAGCACGTGTGATAGTACAAGATACTGCAACTATCTTGGCAAGGTGCTAAGTACCTTCATTTTATAACTCTTTTAAACAGTTCGAAACTATTCAAGAGCTGCAGGTACGCTGCAGGTACACTGGAACAGTCACAAAAGTATTTCACATCATGACAAAAGGATATGGATGTAAATATATGATGAAATGAAAGGAGAATCTAATCTGGCCACCTTGTGATGAGCATGTAACATCAGTCTCAAATCAAACATCTACATGAGGCCTGAAGACACCACAGAAGACTGTGCGCTCTGGTTACCCAGGTGACTGGCAATTCTTTGCTCTACCTTCTTTCTCCAGACTGTTTTCTGAGTGCTGGGAAAAATGAGGGCTCAGGCTTCCCCAGGCAGCGGCAGTTAATTTATTCCTTTTGTATGGTTAGAGAGGGAGAGAGAATTTCCAACGTTGCTTGACCGTAGACCATTTACAGGTTTATAAACAGTAATCGGTATTTTGCCTTCCCTCCTGTAAAAGATCTGCAGTCACTGCATGATCTGGGTTCTTCTGCGTCTTCCTGATGAAAAGTGCTATTTCACTAAGGAACTCGCGTGCAGGAGTGACCGCGTTTTGAAATGGAGTGGAAATGAGGCACTCTAGTTTTATTCCAAGGTGAAGGAGAGAAAGTCAGTGATGGGCATGGATAAGTGTTTCTCCTTCCTAGATTTCTTGAGGTAAACACTACAGACGTGGGACTTCACAGGGAGATAAGGATGGCTCATTTGTTATTTCGCTATATAAACCCATGTTTGTGTCAAAGGCTGGGATTAATACATGTCTCGGAAGGCCTGCGCAGCATTACCTTTCATTTCCTGTCTTTCAAGATTAATCTCAGGTTAAGTGAATTTCTAGTTAATGGTCAGAGGCAATTCAAAGCTGGTGAAATCATCATGAGAGACAAAAGCGATCATTTCATATACATCCAAAGCTTAGAGCTGTTAACAGCTCTCCTTACCACAGACAAGATTAATACTTTTTATCTTTTTTTTTTTAATTGTGAATAATTTTGATAGGAGAAATGGAGTAATCTGTACCTAAAGGAAAGGTTATATGTTCTCGTTCCTTCTTGCCAGTCCGCATCATTGCCATATTATCCATATCCTCTATGACAACTGGTCAGCCTCATTCTACCAGTCCCTCGTGGATGCTGGGAGGAGAAGGGCGTCGGTGTGTCTGGGTCTGCTAAAACAGAGCTGCAGAGTTGAGCATTAGCGTCCTGATGACACCGTAGCCCACCCCCCATCAATCACAACAGCTTCACTTTAGTACTGAATAAAAGGGAGACAAGTCTGGTGCCTATGGGACTCCGGAGCAGAGAGCCCTTGTAAAGGAGGAGCTGTTGCCCTCGACCCCCCTGTCCCCACCCAGGATTTCTCAGATGGGACCGAATTGCTTCTGTTCTTATCAGATGCTACAGTTATATTAACACGTGTCAACGCTGAAAGTGCCGTGTGTCTGAAAGAGCTACCAGAATTACCAAAGCTGCCATATATCGCTGTAGAAATAAAATACAGCAACAGCAGGATCCTCTCACAGAGTCAGATACAAAGTTCTTTCTGAAGCTGAAATGGTACCGGCTTTGCTTTACTACTGCTTTATTGGCGATCAGACACCCCCCAACAAAAAAAAAGGGGGGGGGGGAAAGAGACAAAGATATTAGTAATGACCTTTGGGTTTGTTGTTGTTGTCGGTGGTGTTTTTTTAAAAAGAAAAATCCATGCATGTCAAAATGTAAACTAAGCACAAAGCTTTTCAGTAGCTACCCAAAACCATGCTCTAGTTCACAGGTAGTTAAATAGAAATCCAGCATATCTCAAGGTTCCCAAAATGGATATTGGACAATACTTAGTCAAGGAAGCATTTTGGGTTTTATTTTCCTTTTTTTTTTTCCTTCTTTATTACCACAGTGGTGAAAATAGAGGGACTAAACAAAGTGTCACAAACTCATCTGGAACCAGCTCAAATGAAGGCATGTCGGTCACAGCATAGCACCAGAACAGTTTAATTGGACAGTGCTTGAAAACTAGAAATTAGAAAGCTCCTACTCTGCACCTCATGTGCCATACTTAGAATGGGACAGTCACCATTTTGTTCTTTGGTGCTTGGTAGAGAAAATATTTGCGCCTGGCGTTTTGACACGGTAATATGAAATAATTATAACTCTGTAGGTATGCGAGTCTTTCCACCCACTGGCTATTTGGCTACTGGTTTGCTCAGGCACCACCCTTACAGAGGGAGAATTGTGTTGTACCCTGCTGGCAACTGTAGTAGTAACAATTCAGTAGCAACTCCCACCTCTCCCGTAAAAGCAGTGGTAGTTTTAGCTCCTGTAAGAGCAGTGGTAGCTCCAGCTCCAACCTCTGCTGGGTCCCCCTTCTCCTCCTGGTCCGAGGCTGCGGGCTGGTTTACTTTTGGATGACCACTTAGGGGCTGCACAGCACACTGCGACCCCCTGCAACAGCTGGCTGGACTCACCCTTAGTCCCTTAGTGGGTTTGCAGAAAGTTGCCATTTTGCTTCAGTAATCTGCGACTCTTGAAACAACACAAAACTTCTTGTTTTAAAACCTCTGGTGGTATTACGAAGTATGAGCAGTGTCTGTCTTCGGTCCTCCTTTGAAGTGTTCATGGAAGTTATTTAACGGCTCCACTGTTCAGTCGCTCTGTTGTAATCGAATCCTTGTGTATTTGATCAGGCACGGTATTAAATCCAATGACCATGCCTGTGGAAATACAAAAACTCCTCCCTTTCTGTCTTTGAGATGGCTAATATTTCACCACCATTATTATGTGATTTCTAAGAAATCATCTTCAGTTTCCAATCAATTAAAACACATAGAGAAGCTGTTTTCCTGATTTTTTTTTTCTGAATAATTCTCTGAAAAATTAATACATGATAAGTTTTGTTTTGGGTTGAAAATGAAAGAGTGATACTTTGCAAATGTAAGCGTGAGCAGCTTATCTGCAACTGCACAGGTAAATTACACATTTATTTTCAGGGAAACCTTGATTGATGGTACGTTAGCTTAGAGGGATTAAATACAACTGACGACACAAAATAAACCTTTTCAAAATATTTCTAAAACACCTGTTAACCTCTTGATATTACCATGAAACATCTGATGAGTTTATACCTCCACATAAAAAGCTTGCCTAACTCAGATTTAAAAGAAATAATCTTGGACAAGAACTTGCTTTCTAAATAACAATAATGAAAAACCCTTGGATGATAAATATGTTCAGATGAATTTTTTTTTCTGAACAAGCAAGAATTTGTAAAAGTAATCCCTGCTGAAGAAGTTAAACAAATTCTGAACCACATTAAGTTCAGAAAAATAATCATTTATTAACTATTAACTATTTAACTAGGCAAAGCTTTGGCTGATTGCTTCTTTTCCCATGTTCACCAGAAAATAAAAAAGAAATGGCAATCTTATTTTTTTAACTTACTGTATTTTAAAGGAACAATATATTGTCTCTTAAAATAAATAATAAAAAATGATTATGAGGAATGCAGGAATCACATAATCTTTTTTTTCTTTTATGTTTGCCAGCAAATACATTAATCTACTTATCATAAATAAGAATACAACTTAAAAAACACTTTGGGCTTCTTTAACTGAATTCTAAAAGCTGAGGACCAACGCTTGCTTACGTCCAGTAATGCTTTTGCATCCCGTAAACCTGGGAAGTGCAAGAGATACAGAGAAATTAATTTAGGTGACATCTTTAAATTTATGGGAACATCCAGTTTGAAGAGCTACAATAGAACTGGCTAGAACAGTTAGGTAAAGACCAAAACAAATTCATAATTACTTTTGTGGACAACCTGTAATTATTACGATTTCACATAATAAAGTCATGGACTGTTTGGATTTGCTAGTCTTATGAAGCGGAGACACCCTTCCCTACAAACACTGTTTCTTCTGTTCTTGTGGAGCGTGCTGGTTCTCTAGGTATGTTCTTCTTACATACCTTTAGAAATGCAGCGTAGAGTTACATTTTTTGTGAAAATATTAAATTACGTAAGGATTATAACTACAGCAGAGACTGAGTTACCCCAAAACAGGTCTGCCACAAGACAGGCAGCTGAGTCCTCTGCAATGCAAAACTCATATTTCTTGAAAAAGCAGTCAGAAATTGTTCTATATCCTCCCTGATGCTGAA